GGCTGGGGAATTCTGGGAGTTGAAGTCCACTCATCTTAAAGTGGCCAAGTTTGGACAACACTGGCTTAAGCTGTCGTGCTGAAAGTGCTCTGTAGAGAACATAGCAGAGTTGGCAGCTTTAATGAATTTAGAGTCTATGGGAGTGGGCAACTACACTAAATTTACATCAATAATCATGCTGGCTTCCAAATTCAGGAGTTATATGCCTGGATTGGTCTTCAGGGGGCACTTTCAGTTGGGGACACCTGAATTTGGATTCCGCAATAAACAGAGGGTGAGATTCCATGGTCTAAAGAGCCTCTTCTCACTCTATGATTCTAATAAAACTTTGTTCTGGCTTCAAAAGGAGGATTTCTATCCCTTAGGCTAACCCTAATTCTTTTCTTTTTGGTTCTTCCAAAAGGCTTCATGAAGAAGAGAGAACAGGCAGAAGGATTTGCCAGAAACTCAAGGCATGTTCTTTACTGCCTTCGGTGGATCGGCAGCACTCTGCAAACAAGACCCTCATTGAAAAAATGTTTGGTGGCAAAATTAAGACAAAGATCCGTTGCCTGAAGTGCCTACAAGTCTCCTCCAGAGAAGAAGCCTTCACAGACCTCTCCTTGGCTTTTCCACCAGCTGATGAGTATAAGGCTGGACTCATTAGCAGTGCATTTATTGGGTCTGTAGAAGAAACGTGCCCAGAGATCTCTCAATCAAGGATCCAGACCCAAAGCAGACTGAAGGATTTGCCAGATAGATCAGGGAAATTGAGGGCCCTTGGGGAGAATCCTTCCAAAGGTTCACCTATTGAAATGGTTGGGCCAAAAAATGAAGAGGCCTCTCTCCCCTTGAGGTCTGAGCAAGATTCTGTTGAAGTGAAGCCCAACAAAGAATTTGACGTGGCTTTACAAAAGCAGGGGTCTGGCTCTCAGACCTCCAGATCTGTCCCTGACTTGATAAATTATTTCTTATCACCTGAAATGCTCACAGCAGAGAACAGGTATCACTGTGAGAACTGTGCATCCCTTCAAGATGCTGAGAAGCTGACTGAACTGACTGAGGGGCCTCACTACCTCATCCTCACCCTGTTGAGGTTCTCCTTTGACCTAGGAACTATGAGAAGAAAGAAGATCCTTGACAACATCTCAGTCCCATTGATGCTGAAGTTACCAGTCCTCATGTCCTCTGATCCAATGAGGACACCTGGATGGACTTCGTCATGCAAGGACTTTGCTTCAGTGGTGTATGATCTCTGTAGTGTGGTGGTCCATTCTGGTGTCTCCTCAGAAAGTGGCCATTACTATTGCTATGCTAGGGAATGTGAGGACCCGGCCACAGAGAGCCTTTATAAGGACACCTCTTGGAACGTGGCTTCAGCAAAGTCTTCTGATGTTGAGATCCAGTGGTACATATTTAACGACACCAGAGTCTTCTTCTCTTCTTTTGAATCTGTGAGTAATGTGACCTCTTTCTTGCCTAAGGACACGGCTTATCTGCTGTTCTACAGACAGCGAGGGAGTCAGTCCTCAAATGGAGCTGGTGTGGAGTCTGGCTGGACAAACGGAGGCTTACATTCTCCAGATAAAAGCCTGATGGATGCCATCGCAAAGGATAATATCTTATTCTTACAGGTAACATTGTCTTCTACCATTTATTCATTTCCTTTTTTATTCCCCCAGTTAGTTTTTCTGTTTCACTAACCTGAGATTTATGTGCTTGCTTGAGCTGGGTTTTGTGTGTGTGTGTATGTGTGTGTGGTTTTTGTCTGGGTGTGTCTCTTTTTTGATTCACAGGAACAAGAAAAAGAAGCCAGAAATAGGAATGCTTACATTTCAGCCTTACCTAAATCTTCCATTTGGTGGAAAGACCTTGATAAAGATGATGATGATGATAATGAAGGTGCCTCAGGAGGTTGCAGCCATGACCCCGGTGGAGGAGGTTCGGGGTCTTTTCATGGACTGGTCTTTTAGCTCTTGTGCCCAAAGCAAGTGGTTAATCCTACAACCATCAAGGATGAACTCCCTAACCTTGACCTTATGGCCTTGGAAATCTGACTAAGCAGTCCAAGATGAATGAGGGAGAATGATCGTATTCTAATCTTCCCTGAAACTATGGAAAATGCTGTTTTCTGGAGCAGTTGTAATCAGGACACCCTGAACCTCTCACAGAATTACACTTCCTGGAAACAGCAGGAAGAAGGAGCCACATGTTCAACTTCTGTAGCCTACCAAAATCCCCATCCCTATGGGTTGTCCCCATTGAAGGGTGGGAAATGTTCATTGTGATCTTTTCAGTGGGTCAGTTCTTCATCTGTTCAGGGAGTGTGACTCGGGACACAAAGCTTAATCCACAGTGCAGGGAAATTTCTGCCTTTTCAAAGCAAAGTCAAGAGAGAAGAGAGATATTTTTGGTAACTGGCATAATTGTTGTCCAAGGATATTTTAAGGGAAATTGTGTCAGTCCTTTGAGGTAGGCTCGGTCAAGAAAGAGGCTCAGGAAGGATTCCAGGATGCTATTTTATTGTTGTAGGTATAATAACAAAATCTTGAAAGCCTGTCTGAGTTTCTCTCTGTTCCATCTTATATTAAACAAAATCAAAGTGGGGCTATTTTGAGTTTCCTTCTTGCGCGTCCTTCTATCTCTGGACTATGTAAGCACTTCTCCAAGTCTGCCTTTAATAGCTCTCTCCTCCCTTCTCCAAGCTGATCTCTAAATTCCTTTACAAATAGGATGTTTGAGATAATCTGGAGGTCTGCTTATTTAATTATTGTGGGCAACCATGGGTAAATGTTCCATGTTTAATAGTAAAATGATGAACTAACCCCATGATTGGTCTCTGCTTCTTCTTTGAATTGTATGTCAAAGAGCTTAGATCAGATAAACCTTTCTCAAATATCTAACCTGACCTTGTCACCTGTTAGGATACCAATAGGGACTCTCTCCTGCAGAGCCCACTGCTACCGGGAGGCGTAAGTGACGTCTCTTTGTAGCAGCTACATCCAAAGAGAACTTACTCCATAGGACAACGCTGGGCTTGGTTCAACATGTAGCTGAATTTTCATCACTGTTTGCTTTCAAGTAGAGTGACCAGAGGTGGGTTGCAAAAAATCCAGGCCGTCAGTAGATGGCACCAAGAAAAACCTTCAACCAGTTGTTTTGGAGTTTGGGAGCACAGATCTGGTCATCTTAATTTAAGGAAGCACATAGCTAAGATGGAAACACTGTTGGAAGGACTGTTTCTCCCATTAAAGTGTGAGTAAAGTATGTGTTGTCTCTGATGGATATAGGCAGATGATGATGACTTTAATATAATAAAAAGGTATAAGTACACAAACTTCCCCAGTTTATTGTCATGCAGAAGCCTTGGGACTTCATTTTCCCCAATTCATGAGCTGGGCATTATATAGTTGTACTCATGCATCTAAATGGTGCAGATGGAGGAAGGGTGATAGATATTTAAAACATCCATGGATTTCCTTATCTTCCTTTCTCCTACCCTGCTCCAGGAAATCCCTACCATTCAGCTTAGTTCCTAGACCATCTAAATCTTGCTTTACTGGCTGGCTAACAGACTGAACCTTCTGTACAATGGAGAGCGTGCGCTCTGTGGGTAAAATTTGGTTTATTTTGTGCAAGAAGCAAGGCTTCTGTGGCAATTGTTTGGCCATTTAGGAATCTGAGCGAAGGTCACCCACCTTGAGAAGATGCAGCTTGTAAGAAGATCCTGCTGCCTTGGTGGCAAAAGATCTGGGCTTTCAGGAAATTTGGGACCCTACACGTCTGTCTACAGTGGCAGTGGTTTAAACATCTAATAAATAAAAGGGTTTACGATGGGAAGGTTGGCCGTGATCCAGAAATGTGAAACTCTTGAAGCTTCTGCTTCATGTTACAAATGGAGCCACAGAACAGCTTTAGGTGGTGGAGGAGGAGGAACTTGTGGGGAAAAGTGTGCTTCAGAAACATATTGCAAGAGTCATGGGGCAATGAAGGCCAACCCAGCTTCTCTGGTTTATTGGTCATCTCCTCTTACCATGTGAGGATCCTGCACATGTATCAGCCTTACGAGGTAGACCAGGCAGGAAACACAACCAGATGAGCTAATTCTATTTTATTGTAAGGCTACATTAACAGAATCTTGCAAGCCTGAAAGTACAGTTCTCCCCCCGTCTCCTTTATACCGCGAGAAACTAGGGAGGGTCTCTTCTGAGCGTCTTGCCCCATCCACATTCCTGCTGCAGGCTAAGCTGCCTTTTATCGGACTGTTCTGTTGGTTGCATCTGGTTGCCCTGTCTCCCAAGGTCATTCCCATGTACCATTACATCGTGTTGCAGAAGACTGGGGTTTCTGCTTTGCAAGAATTCTCCATTTCAGGATTGTACGTTGGAGTTCTATGCATGTAATTCAGGTTTTTCTAGAACCCCTTCACACAAGCTTTGAATAAGGAGGTTCTAGGACCATGGCCCTTCAGCTCTGGCTGTTTCCTAAATGCCTGGTGGAGGGACTGTTTGAACCCTGAGGGTGTCTTTCCCTTATCCTAGACAGGAATTCCCCAAATTTTAAGAAGAATGTATGAATCCCACATGGACAAACCATTTTGGTTCTGCTGCTAGAGAATGTACATGGCCATGTTCAAGGATCTCAAGGGAGGGAGATTATGTTTTATGGCCAACTACCAACTACCTTGGGCGATCTGGGGATGGAAAGGTGAGGTCCAAATTGCAATAATAAATAGTCCTGACAAATTTGAAGAATGCCAGGTTAGGAGAGACTTTGCTCTGGAGATGTGAACCAGGCACATTTTTAAAGATTTTTTAAAATCCTGCCTTCATTGTTTTTATAAATAACTCAAGGCAGCTAATATACTTAATACTCCTCCTGTTTTCCCCACAACAACCACCCTGGGCTGAGAGAGGGACTGGCCCAAAGTCACCCAGGCGGCTTTCATGCCTAAGGTGGGACTAGACCTCACCGTCTCCTGCTTTCTAGCCTGGGGCCTTCACCACTAGACCAAACGGGCTCATTTAATAATCTAACATCTGGATGTTAGAGCAAGAGGACAACAGACCAAAAGGGCTACTAGAGGTTATATAAAATTGAGGGTGAGGGTACAGGGCAGTGCTCAAGAACCTGGTCTTTCATCAACCCCTTGGCCTCCTTTCTCTAAAAACATAAGCCCAAGCAGATAATTTTCCACCCGCTCATAACATCTCTATACTCGTGTGCAAAATTATAGACTGCATAATTGCTAACCAAGAATTATTACTAACACACGCTGGAGCAGTTTGCTCCTAATTGTGGCCATTAATAACACAGAAATAAGTGCATTCCTTTTAGCCATGTATCATATTTATTAACAGCAATTTGTTTATTTAAAGTATTAACTAAGTTAAGCGCAAGTTCGGTTTTACAGGACAATTGTCTTCTTTTTTTTTTAACTGCAGCTCACAAAGAATAAATTAATAATTTAAGGAAAGAGAATTCACGGGGGCTAAGAAAAGAAGGAATATTCAGCTCAAATACTAAGACCACAAGACAAAAACATACTGTACATATATTTATATAT